ATTCTATGATTCTATGAAAATTGAGGCATGGAAGAGGCAGCCCAAAAGATTTTTTGGACAAAGATTTTGTGAAAATGCAGATCACAATTTTTTTAAACCGTCAGAAAAAAGTGAAGTCTCTAAAACCACTAACAAGCTCCAAAGGTAACAGCCTGATTTTCTGAAGTCCTCAGCTGCTAACAGCTCTGCTGAAGTCCTTGGGTTTTATGCAGCATTAGCAATCAGCTCGCTGATTTTCACAGACCCTGGTGAAAGCACTCTGCTTGTGCATGTACAGATCTGAGGCTGGTCTAGAAGAGAGGGCTGAAGTAAGAGAACGGCAGTGGGGACCCTCATAGGCCACTGCAGTGGGGCTACTGGGACACCAACTCAAGGAATAATCCTCCAGAGCCTTTGCTTTCCTCACAGGGGATCTCTAGCCATCTGCTGTAACTACTTTTTGTTAGAGAAAAGCCTTATTGCATGTCATGTGTCTTCCCTGTGTCTAATCAGGAAAATCCCATTTGATGAGCACGCCCAATTCTATTAGCTCAGCCTCTGGATGGATCCCCAAGGTGCTGCCCTCTGAACTAAGAGGAGCAACTAGGAATACAAATAGTCAGGACAGGGCCACTGGAGGATCCCAGCAGACAGGTAAGCACCAGGGAGAACTTTTGATGGGCTGTGGAGAAGTGTAGCAGGCTGCCTGGGAACAAAGAGAAGAGGACAGTGTGATAATCTCACAGAATCCCAGAATTGCCTGGATTGGAAAAGATCTTTAAGCTCATCAAGTCCAACCATGAACCCAACACTGACCAGTCCCCGACTAACCCATGTCCCTCAGCACTGTGTCTACACGACTCTTCAATCCCTCCAGGGATGGGGACTCCACCACTGCCCTGGGCAACCCCTTCCAATGCCTCAGAACCCTTTCAGCAAAGAAATTCTTCCTCACATCCCATCTCAACTGCCCTTGGTGCAACTTGAGGCCATTTCCTCTTGTCCTAGAGGTTTCCTTTGGTCTGATCCCGTCCTGCAGTGAGCACACTCAGAATCAGTGAACTGGCTGACAGTGGGATCTGGCAATGTTGGCAGATACCAATGAGAAGGTTCCCTTGTCTCCATTAATTAGGCTTGCTCCGAGACAGGCCACCTCACAGGAAAGCCTGTGGACAACCACATACCAATTACTATTTTCCTGAGAATTACCTTTCATAGAAAGGAAAGATTCTGGACTGAAACTGGAGCAAAGCTTCCAGCATTAGACGTATCCCACTTTATGTGACCATGCCACGTGGCTGCAGCTTCCCCAGCCTCACCAGCTGGACTTCCCCTGGGTACCCACTTGATTCCCACAGCCCAACAGACCTCAGCACTCAAACACAACCAGGAGTTAGATTTGCTGTGTAATTGCTGAGATCTCTCGCTACTGCCTCCCAGCCTGCAAGTTTTTAACTCATGGATCTTCAATGAGTGCATCAAATGGATTTTTCCTTTCTTGAGGCATTCTTTTGGATTGGCATTTTGAAGAGATGATAAATACTGGCTTGCTCTGCCTTTCTGTGTGGGCTCAGTTTGCAATGGATCAAAACAATCCCAGAAAAAGGAAATAAGCCAACCCAGGATACATGGTCCTTCCAGGCAGGCTGCTGTAATGTTCAAAATACTATGAAATTTTTGTTTGGTTGGTGTTTTTTCAAACCTTTTGGAAAGATCAAGAACCTGCTTTTCCTTGATGTTTAAAAAGAATCAGGAAAAAACAAATCAGAAAAAAAGGACTTTGTGCTTTGATAGAAACCTGCTATTATCTCAGGTAAGTAATTAAGCACCTAGAGCAGGATCAATCATCTGCAAATGCTCGATCCTGCTCTGTATCAAGGTAAAGGTTGGCTCCCTGGCTGACAGTATTTTTTTTCATCCTGCTGTCCTACCTTTGCGAGGGTATTTTATTTTATCCGTATACAGAAACTGCATGAGCACCTCGAAGGGTTGTGCCTCAGCCTCTCGGATGGGCACTTCCAGCAGTGGCTGCAGGCGGCACAACTTGACGTTCCCACCAATCCCATCCTTCTGACACGTGGCATGACCCTCGTCTTCAATATCTTGCTTTGATTTCTAATATGACAGAAAAAACACTCAACAAGGCTGTGTCAGCACACACACGTTACTGTCACACCAGAGGAAAGATCCTTCTCACAACTGCACATTCTTCGAGACTCACGATTTCTTTATCTTCAGGATTATCTTCAAGATAACTCGGAATTAATATGTCTTAGTGGCCTGGTTTTGCCAGGATAGAGTTAATTTTCTTCTCAGTAGCTAGAACAGCTGTGTTTTAGTTTCAGTGTGGGATTTGTTCTGAGAAGAATGTTGATAAAGTACTAATGTTATTAGTTGCTGCTGGAGCCCCTTTGGCTGGTTCACAGGTGCAAAGGACTGAGGGGGGAAGCACAGTAATTAGCAAAACCCAAAACTGGCATTTGGCTCTGCCCATGAGCTATTCCCTATCATATCACGTCATGTCAGTAGATTAACCAGGGCTGACTGGAAAACAGGGGGATTCTCTCAGGGATCACTCAGGCTCTCGCTCTTCCAGGATTGCAGTTTGGGGACTGTCTCTGCTCTGGGATCTCTGGCTGGCACAGACTGGGCATCAGTTGGCAGGTGCTGAGCAATTGCACTGTGCATCACTCATTTGTTACTGTTATTAACATTATTATTTTATTTCAATTAGTAAGTTGTTTTTATCTCAACCCACAAGTTTTCTTACTTTTACCTGTCCAGTTCTCTCCCCTGCTCCCTGGGGGCAGGGGGGCGATAGTGAGAGAGTGACTGTGTTTGGCTGCAGCCAAAGGAGTGAAACCACCACACTTAGACTTACTGTTCTATATCCTGTGACAAACATGGATCAGAACAAATGTGAGCTCCTGGAAAAAGCTCAAAAGCAGGACCTCAGAAAAAGGGAGGAATGAATTCCACTGAGCTCACATTTCTGCTCTCAGCAGGAAACAGCAGGAAGAACATCTCTGCTTGGAGAAAGAAGATGTAGGAGCAGGTTTCACAGACTCTGCCTTGCAAAGTCAGAGTTCAAAGTGCTGCACAGAAGTATTTTAAGCCACTCTGTTACTTTCAAGTTTCACTTTGACAGCCTTTCCCAGTGAAGATGGGAGAGCTGTGAGGTGGCAAAGCAATGAACTAAGGCGGGCAATGAGGCATCCATAGGTCTTACTGCAGGTTGTGTGCTACCACTTCTTCCAGAGCAATAAAATGTTTGCTGCTGAAAAACTGTTAAGTAGTTAAAATCAATAGACAATGAACCAGAGGCACCAGGCCTTAAACTCTGGAAAAAAGTCAGGAAATGCTAAAGTAGAGGGAGCGAGCCAGCCTCAAAACCTTCACACTGCCTTCCCTCTCATGTGTCTGATCTTGCAGCTCAATGACATGCAGCTTTTACCCTCCCCAGAGGGAGGGGTACGCACTCCTCCCTAGGGGTATTCCACAAGATTAGAACTTAGCCAGCTATGAGAGCTCCCAGGAACCATACCCCAAACCCAGATAACTGGATTAACTTTGGCTCCTCCATGTTATGCTCCTTGCCTTGCCCGATATACATCCAGTAGCCTATGTACTAATTAACCTTTTTATTTTACTTGCCCAAGAGCACCTTAGCACCAGGTGCTGCTCCAGTCCCACATCCGTCTCAGCAGATACTATTTGCTTCCTTCCAACCTTATTTACAAAATTGGGCAGAATAAGCACTCCCTTGCCACAAGATTACTTTTCTAAAACACTCACCTGTTTCAACCTCTCCCTTGCCTGTATGATTTTCTTTTTCAGCCACTTGCAGCGAGCTGTAACAATTGCGGTATGCCCTCGGACTCGTTCTTCCTTCTGTCAAAGCCAAAGGAAGAATATATATTAAACTTTTATTCTTAAATCATGTGGTGGTGGCAGATGGCAGAAGCCATAGAAACTTGGGCTGAACTCCAGGTTACTATACATTTAGTTTAAGTTAGAATCAGCAACCTCACATCTGCTCTGCACATGCAGATGGAATTCAACACCTATTTTCCCTAAAGGCTAATGGCAAACACCATTTGGAATGAGTCTGCTGTGTTCACTGAGTGGAAGTTCTTGCGTAGGTTCAGTGTCACAGATATTGCTTCTAATTGTTCCATTTGATTTTCAGTTTAATTTTCTTTTTTCAAAACAACATCTTGATTTTTTGCTACCGTTTTTCATAATCTACTTCATCTGTTTTTAAGGATCTGCTATCTCATCTCTGCAAAGTGGATTTTTTTGCAAAAGGAATGCACGTAAATTCAAATTTCTCATATTTTTCTTCAGAAAATTGGTTCTTTTAAAAATTCTACAATAATTTTCACTACTAGAGAATCATTCCCCCATGCTGCTTTTTGTCATTCTATTTTATTTCAGTAATTAAAAATGGCTCCTCAATGGCACATGGACCTGCAAACCATTGACCTGCTCTTTCCAGGAGACAGTTGGACCTCAGAGTACAGAGGCTGTTAGTATCATTTTCATATTGCAACTATATATACAGTGCTCTGATAAATTCAGGTTACCTCTCAGTGATGCATGGATCTTCTCAGTTTAAAAGTTTCTTCTCCTTTGCAACTTTATAAATGTATCTGGATTAGTGTAATTTACTAAACCAGACAGACACCATGCTGACCAATGATGCTGCTCTTAAAACTTAATTCCCTGGGTTTCTGACACAATCATCGTACAATTTGCTTTTTCCCAGGAAATATGCTACACACAAAGTAACAACCCCCTTGGCACCTCTCCAATAAATTCTACTCACCTCTCCCAAAACAAACTCCAAGTCACTGAACTGCCTGTTTTCCCACAGCCTTCCGTAATCTTCATGTAGAGTGCATTTAGGGTAACAGGAAAACTGAAAAAAGTGAAACCACACAGGAGACAGAATTCATTTCAAATGGCTGTATCCAAAAGCACTGTAGTCACATACACTATCACTGGATATTCTCATTAACTTGACCTCAGTGTAGTATATAAATTAGAAAACAACAAGCGAACCAAACACATGCGAGGGCTTCTTCTGTGGTGAGAGCAACAGAAAATAACACAGGGTAACATGGAAGAATTGTGTCTCATCACAACTTGCTGGTTTCTGGATTTGGTGGCTCAGAGTCTCACCTGCTCTCAGGACCTGTCTGAGGGTCCCACACAACAAAATAAACTTGAGTTGAGGAAGGATTTGACCCGGTGTGAGTATCTTGAAATTTAACATTCCTGCAGGTGTGTAGGTGGGAGTGCTGCATGAAGATGAGACTTCAGTACAAAATGTTCTGACCCAGGAACCCTGAACCTGACAGCACAGGAAGAGGAACAGTCGATTTGCAGTTAAATATCCTGGCAAATTCTGTCAGATACATTTTTCAATAATCTGTCAAAATCAGTTGTCAGGATCTCTGTTAGAACTTCAGAAGGCACTGGAGAGCTTGGCCTTACTAAATGTCTGTCCAGATAACATATCCCAAAAGATTTTACAGATATACATTAATCTTTGGCAGCTGAATCTGAAATGCAAAGGCTGCCTGCAGGAAGGATGCGAAACAAAAGCCATCACAGTGAGACAAACTAGAAACTGCCACATCCACATCCAGAGCCAGAAGCATCATGCAGAATTGGTGTGGATGTTTCAGTCTGTTTATCAGTGAATTACCTGGAACCTGTACATTTCTCCACTTCTAATGTTATTGTCCACTGTGCCACCAAAGATGTACATAGCATCTGAGATAACAGCGGCAGCATGGAAGAGTCTCCCACTGGGTAACTAGGGA